TATATATATATATATATATATATATATATATATTCATCATGACCTGCAAAATATTTACTTTGTACTTTAAATTCCTGAATGAAATTGTAAGTGAAATTGTGAGTAAAGAGTACCATTTTTTAAAAGTTAAAGTTAAAAGTGAAAGTATTCTGTTACAATAACTTGAGCAAGGTTTCACAATAAAATACTTAAGTAAATTAAGTACATTAACTCAAGTATTTTCCATCCCTGCAGTTATGCAAGTGAGCGCTTTTTTTGCTGCCATTGCTGCTTTGATAATGTATGGGTTTAAAGAGTCCCATTAATTCTGAATAAGGAAGATAAAAGAAAAATATTTTTCTTCATTATTCATTTCACCTTAATTTTAAAAGTCTGATTCATTTTCCTCATATTACTTATACAACTAATTACCCAGAAGTGTAATCATTTAAAATTATCTGTTTTAATACAATACTTGAAATTGTATTACCATTATTACATGAATACATCTCTCGCAATGCAATTATCTGTGCTAATACAATCACCCCTGAAGTATTTTTTCCTCTTTTTTTCTTCTGTGTTGTCCTCCAGTGGGTCATTGCCATCCAGATGTGGTTGAAGCAGGAGCAAAGCAAATGGAGCTTCTCAACACCAACTCTCGCTTCCTACATGACAATCTGGTCCTGTATGCTCAACGTCTCCAAGCCACTCTTCCTGAAAAGCTCTCTGTGTGCTACTTTGTCAACTCAGGGTAGGCCTGTGAGCTCATTCTCAGACATACCACCTGTTTGCGCTAAAGGAATGCTCAATCACCCCATTGAGCAGATAAGCAGTTACTGCATTTTTGTAAACAGAAGAGCCAGATATTTTGTGTATTTCTCTGGTCATGTAGACTAGCATGCAGCCCAGATGTTGTAATTACTGATTGTTGGCTGGACAGCTTACTGCTTATTGCTGGCTAGGTAGCACTTTTTTGTTTTCACTGTTGAAGGCAGCCACTTGATAACCAAGTACCAGGATCGACTATTCTGTTTTGACATCTAGGTCTGAGGCAAATGATCTGGCCCTGAGGTTGGCCTGGCAGTACACCGGCCACAAAGACATCATCACACTAGAGAAGTAAGTCAACAGCACACTGTCTGTGCCTCCTCTTTCTCTGCACTGGGATCTAAACAGTAACCAATTTCTTAGAAGCATGAAGCTCACAGCTTAAATATTAACTTAATCTTACGTCTTGTATCTAGACATACTGTGTTTTGCTTATGGATATGCATACTAGTCAGCATCTGCCTTGGTATGCAAAATCTTGCTGTGCAAAAGAATGCATCACCTTGTCTTTGGGTTTCATTTAAACGAATGCCATATCCCATGTCAAATATTGCATGTGATGTATTGCTGCTACTTTTTTTTTTTTTTTCCACATTTTACACTGATAAGCGAAAGAATCATTAGAAGATTAGATAACTTAAGCCCTCTCAAACATAGTGGAACTTTGTTCTGTTGATTCTTGCAAACATTTCAATCAGTGTGCTTCCCCTGCAGTGCCTACCATGGTCATGTGTCATCGCTCATTGATATCAGTCCATATAAGTTTCAGCAGATGGCTTGTGCAGAGCCAAGCCAACATGTGCACGTGGTGAGTGTTGCAACATGAGACGTTTGACATATTGGATTTGACATACGGTCACATGCACAAAGTGCTCAGACACTATTCTTGAAGTCAAAAACTGTTCAGAGGTGGTCAACTAATATTGTGCAGCCCAACTTCTAATGCCTCTTTCTGGTTTTCAGCATTTATTTGATCAAAAATACAGCAAAACAGTAACATTGTGAAATATTCATGTAAAATCGTGAAATGTTGTTTATTCCCGTGATAGCAATTTTCAGCAGTCATTAGTCCAGTCTTAAGTGTCACATGATCTTTTAGAAACTTTAGAAATAATTACAATATGCTCATTTGGTGCTCAAGTAACATTTCTTGTTTCTTAACTTCTGTGCTGCTCTCATATATATATATGCAGTGACTTGAATACATGGGCATGTATTTCATTTCTGAATTAAAATTTGTTTTGATAATTTGGGGGGCATAATATGTCATGTTGATATTAATGTCTTTATATCACAATGAAGAAAAATAGAATTTGAAAACTTTGACCTTTTAATGGCATGGCAAGTAAAGGATTAATTCACCTCAAAAAATTAAAATTCTGTCATTACTTACTCACCCTCATGTCATTCCAAACCTGTATGAGTTTTTTTCTTATATTGAACATAAAAAAATATATTTTGAAGAATGCTGGTAATCAAACAGTTGATGGTCCCCATTGACTTCCATAGTATGTTCTTTTCCTACTATGGGAGTCAATAGGGACCAACAACTGTTTAGTTCTTCAAAATTCTTTAAAATATCTTCTTTTGTGTTCAACATAAGAAAGAAACTTATACAGGTTTGGAACGACATGAGGGTGAGTAAATTATGACAGAATTTTCATTTTTGAATTTTCATTAAACTATTCCTTTAAGTTGAGGTTGTACAGTTTCATGATATTTGTTAAAACAAATTACTTTGAAAAATGTTTTTATAACTTGAATGCATGTTAACCATTAGTTTGGAATCCTTAGACTGAAACCTCTGTGGATGTTTGGATGAATGTATGTGTGTGTGTGTGTGTGTGTGTGTGTGTGTGTGTGTGTGTGTGTGTGTGTGTGTGTGTGTGTGTGTGTGTGTGTGTGTGTGTGTGTGTGTGTGTGTGTGTGTGTGTGTGTGTGTGTGTGTGTGTGTGTGTGTGTGTGTGTGTGTGTGTGTCTCCATTCTACTCTTACTGTGGTGATCAGTCAGTATTGTGTTACAAGTTAGTGAGCCACATCAGCATACGTAACATTTTTTTTATGAAAAATGTCTTTAAAGACACTTGGTCTTTCTTTTCTCTAATGTTGACATTATGCTACATGCTTAAAGTGGACTACAGTACAATCCAGGGGCCTCGTGACTTGAATGTAATCCTTGCTACGGCACTGAAATACCGTTCCACAAATAGTGATAAGAATACCCATAACAGTTTTTTGTTAACAGCCAGCATTTATATTTATAAACTATACATATTCATAAATTGTCAATTTAAAAATTATTTTTAAATTATAGCAATAATTATTCATTACATTAAAAAATCTGCAGAATAAAAGAGTTGTATTTAAATTTGCCAGCATAGTGAAAAGATTTATTTCTGCACTGTAAATTTTTATTAACTATTCATAAATGTGATAATTCCTTAAGGCTCTCAGTCCAGACATTTATAGAGGCAAATACTGTGAGGACCACCCTGACCCTGCCACTGCCTATGCTGAAAATGTCAAAGATATAATCGAGCAGGCCCATAAAAAGGGACGTAAGGTAAGTGAAGTTATTTAACATCCACAGTAATTAGCATTCTTCACTGACTGTACTTTTAAACTTTGGTCCATTAATTAAAGCCTTTCTTTTTAAAATTACAATTCATAGTTTTCAGTGATAATATCACATAATTGACATCATTCGGTCTTAAGGCAAGTATTACAGTTTTTGTGTATTACAAGTTTTCTGACATGTTTAAATACAGAAATTGGGCAGTATATAATTAAGTGCACTAAATCTGAACACTGGATAAAGCCAGGTTCAACTTTTTTTTTTTACACGGAATATTGGATATCTTTTTTTTTATCAATCCATACATCAGAAAAATACTGTCAATTGTTAAATAATGTTTGTAGGAATGCTTTCATAAATGTTTTCAATCTTTTTGTTATAAAAAAATCAAATAACTCAAAATCCCAAAATTGACCAGAGCATGTAGTGTCTTGCCTTAAATTCATTGATAGGATCTTTCAGTTCTCTGGTTTCTTGTGTGATCTCTTAAATTCTCCATCATTAATTTATTTAAACTGTATCATTTCCTTTTCCCTCCCCACATTTCCTCTCTCCACCTGTTGATGTTTCTCTTCTCTCCAGGTTGAGCTGAGACGGGAATTACTCTTGCCTGCTGGAGGCCCAAAGGGAGCCCCTAAACCCTCTGTTGCAGGAAAAATAATTGGTCTTTACACATGAGAATTAACATGAATCTGTGAGGATTGATGAATAAACTGCCCAAACACCATGGCAGCTGTGTCAAAATGATATGATGTCTTCGTATTTCGTTTTCCTCCTGAGGTTCTCTGTGAACTCTATGCTTTCTTCAGCTCTTGTTTCCTGCTCATGGCAGTGGCTGTCATAGTCATCTAAAGCAGCTTTTAAAAAAGATGCTTCCTCCTCGCATGTATAACCACTAGTCTACAAGGGACTCATGGGATCTATTTTTGTGTAGATTGCCGCTTTTATCGCTGAGTCACTGCAGAGTTGCGGAGGGCAGGTCATTCCTCCAGTGGGCTACTTCCAGAAAGTGGCACAGTATGTACTACTAAGTGTTTGGTTAAAGCATTTTATTTACATGATTGCTGCTCCTCTCCTTCATTCGTTTTTTTAAGCTTACTTAACGTTTTAAATAAATAAGCAAATTGAATATGAATGATCCTTCTCTCAGGTTCTGCCTGAATTAGTGGCAGAACCTGACAGAAGGATCATTCATATTAAATTTGCTTATTTATTGATTTCATTCATTTTATCTAAATAAATATTTAATTTGACAGATGCAACAGACAAATAAATATACATATATTTTAATGCACCAAAAACATTAGTCTTAAATCGCTTGCCTAATATGAATATATTATTTTATCTATAATTGTATGCCCATTTATAAACACCTTGGATCCAAGTGCATTTGTTGAACTATTGAAATGTCTTAAAGGGGTCATATGATGCTGCTAAAAAGAACATTATTTTGTGTATTTGGTGTAATGAAATGTGTTTATGCGGTTTAAA